TTTTTCCTGTTTTTTTTTTTTTTTTTTTTTTTTTAACAAATAGCATGTTTTATTATATAAAGAGCGAAAGGAGGCCGGGAACCCCTCCACATCTCAACGCGGATGACTGGGGCAGTGGGGCCATTACCCAGATTAGGCTAGTATTGCAGGGTGGTCCCTGTGCTCCTACCTTCTATCTGTTGCACCTTCTATTATATTGCCCGCCTATACTTTTTTTCATTGTATGGATGGTTTATGATGATTTGTGGATAGAAGGGGAGAAAGAATTCGTTTTTTTTAAGAAAACACACAAGAGTGACAAAACACATACACACAGTCTGCTAGGATTGCAGGGTTGGTGTGAGTGAAGTCCACGAGTAAAGCCCACCACTTTTCCCAGGGGTATCACTAACTCTGGGCGACATGGTGAGTCCTTATCCATCAGTCAAATGCATCCTGGGCAGACTGTCCGTCCAGTTTCAACCTCCTGTTGAGTCGGCGATAGTCCGACGAAACAGTCTGGCACAGTCATGTTCAATCTCCTGATGAGTCGGTGAAAGTCCGACGAAACAGTCTGTTTGGCACAGTCATGCTTATCTTTGTGGAGTTGTGTATACAGTGTATGCACTGTATAGTGAATATGATGACACACACCTGCACACCTGCACATATAGATTTTATCGAGTGTACTCATGCGGTCTCCGTTGGCATCGGTCTTAAGAATTTTGAATATTGGTGAGTGTACTCATGGCGTTGTCAATGTCGACGACTCTGTGATGTCCACATGCAGAAAAAGAAGGCAACGAAGAAGGAAACGACGAAGCAGGAAACCGCAGACAACGCCATGTATGGCACTGCAGAGTATTTGCAAGCCATAGGAAGTGTGATCGCTCCTTGGGAAAAGGAATCGCTCCTTGTGGTCCCCCCAGGTTCACCAGAGACTTTGTTATCTTTGTCATCATTTGGTGGTGCCCACCTCGGTGGGGAGATCAATGCCGTGAAGAAGAAGCAGAAGCCCAAAAAGAAGAAGCGGGCGGTAGTTGCAGCTGTTTGCACTGCAGATTCACCCTCCCCTATTTCCGGTGCCAGCGTTGGAGGGATGGGATTTTCGGACAGTTTGTCTGGGGCGAGTGACATGTCAGAAGGTGGAGCGGTTAGGCAGGCTGCAACAATCGGTGCGGCGGCTGTTGTCAGTGTCTCGGTGGGGGGAGGTGGTGGAGGGTTGAAAGGTGGAGATGGCAGTGGAGGAGGAGGAGGAGAGGGAGGAGGAGGGGGGGGAGGTGACAATGTTCCCGGAAGCGACGGTAACTCCTCATCCAATGCGTTTGTCGACGACCAAGAGGAAGAAGATGGAGCTCCAGATGGGTCTGCTCCACATGGGCCCGGGCATGCATATGCGAGGCGAAGAGGTAGACCATATGTTGTTAAACCCCTAGCGTATATGGGGGCAACAACAGGGCCACTGGGTCAGACAGCAAGGGTTCCACCAGCAGTGAATCTGCAGGAGGGTGTTGCAAGAACCTCGACGCCTGTGGCAAACGCTGGAACGGGAGGTGCAGGCTCAGGAGCAGGAACAGGGAGTGCGATAACCTCTCCGAGGGCCTCGGCTCAGTCGCCAAGGATGGGCCCAACTCGTGCTGTTGGACGGGTAGTTAAAGGGGCTTCTGCACCGACCAGCGGGCCAGTAGCGGCATCAACGACGGATTCAGCAGGATCGCCTGTGGTTATGGACTGGCTGGCAAGTATAGTTCATTCATTCAGCAAACGGACGAATGGTTTGGACTGGGAGAAAGAGAAGGAAAAGATAGTGCAAGCCGCAGGAGAGGAGGTTTTGAAGTCGCTAATGTCAAGATCTGGGGACGATGCGCTTGCTGTGCGTTCAGAAGTGAGCGCGTTGCGTCGACTTCAGCGAGAGGCATTCAGCGACCAGCTGAAAACTAAGGACAGGATTGATAAGCTGGAGCATTTCACAGGTCTACGGAAAGTCGCACATCTGGGAGAGTCAATGGCAGGTGGAGGAGCACTCGCTAGCCGAACACGTATGCGTGGAGATATTGCAGTCGGTGCGGCTTATCCTCTGTTGGATGGGAGTGACGAGAAGGTCAGGCAGTCGCAAAAGCTCACTTTTGACCGAGTTGGTGCTCGAATAGGCGTGGACGCACGGTTCACCTTTGAGACAGCCTTCCGCGGTGGCAAGGATACTCTGATTACCCAGTGCGTATCAGGTAAGAATGGTCAAGCCTTGGGGTCCTCGACAGTCGATGGAGATGCGCTGGTGGGACCGATAACCGTGCGCAAGGTGGTGTATTCAGCAGAGCTTGGAGATAATCTCAGTTTAAAGTTTTCACCTGTGGGTGCCGATGGTGCAGATATCTGCAATGCCTTGAACCCGTTGGAGGGCTACGGCCTGACAAAGTCCACTGCGGAAGGGCTACCGATCCTGAAGAAGTGTCGGGGATCGGCAGCGAGCGCCACGTTCAGGTTGAACGGAGCATCGATCACCACCGCTCAGTTCATTGATCGTGGGGCCACGGCCTTCAATGGCGGCGGCAATCAGCGGCCAAGCCATGCCACAGTTGCACAAGTGACGCTGAGGCCGGAGGAGTGGTTGGTGGTCTCGCTGTCGGCAGTGAGCCAATTCTGGGCTCCGGCATCGAACAGAGACGAAGCAGGCACCCTGAGAACACCTCAGTGGGATGACCATGTGGTCCAGGACGATGTCTTGGACGGAAGCGTCACATCCAAGGTGAGCGTGCAGAATGCGGACCCAATCCCCTCAGCAGCAGCACCTGCGAGGTCGGGCCTTCGCCTGCCCAAGATCGGTCCAGTGCCCGGAGGGCCAGCACTGCAGACCATTGGCGCGGCCGCGGCCTGCGATCTTGGAGGCAATATTACTATGGCAAGTTGGGCTCAATTCGAACGCGCCGAGTGGTTGTCGGAGAAGGAGAAACAACACGTGCGGTGGGGTCTGACTCTGTCGAAGGCACCTGGATCAGTTGCAGGGAATGGAAACGGAAACGGGAATGGCAGCTCGACCGGCCTTGGTTGGGGATTGAGCGTTGGAAGCAACGGTATCCCGGAGACAGCCAGCAACAGTCAGTTGCCCCGCAAACTGTGGGAGGCGCCCCTTCAGATGGAAGGGTTCTTGAGAATTCAGTGTGCAAAGGGGTTCACAGTTTATCCTGGAGTTGTCTGCACTACAGACGGGCGCGGGGAGTCCACTCCTGGCTTTGTTGTGCGGTCGCACTGGAGCCTGTGAATGAAAGAAAATTAATCTATTCATATTTCGTTGAAGCCTTCAAATGAAAGGTCTGCTGTAGGAGCTTGCTTGCTGTTGATTGTTTGCATTTTGTGCGTGACGGGTTTTGCTGACTGACTGACTGACTGATTGTTGATTGCATGTGTACTTTTGCCGTGTGCTTACTTAGCAAGCAGAGTATACACTGTCTCTTATACACATCTAGATGTGTATAAGAGACAGGTGTGTGTGTGTGTGTGTGTGTGTGTGTGTGTGTGTGTGTGTGTCTGTGTTCAGGGTTTTAAACTGGTCAGCAAGGGCCAGTCAGCGTTTTCGTTTGGCAGTTTGACCAAGCGGCATTGCTGAAAGGTTTCAATTTTTTGTGCGGGAGTCGGCAGCCAGGTGCGGACTCCCAACACTTTTCTTGGGAATGCTCCACTCCCGGTCTCTCTCTCATTCTTGTAAACCCTCTTCAGGATTTTTTTGCCTTTCTTTTTTCCTCCCCCCTCGAAGTTTGTGACTGGAATTCTTTGGGAGTACTTAAAAGATCTGCGCAACGTTGAGTTCTTGACGTTTGTCTATTTTGTTTTTTCCCCTCTTTCTTCTTGATTGGGATGGGGATCCCTCTCTGTAGACATTTGACCAGCAGCTGACTGATCTGTTGACAGAAAGGGCGTTGCCGCAGGGCACACGAAACGAAAAACGAAACGAACGTATTGTTCCCCAGAAAATGGCCAGGTTCATCGGTTTGCTATAAATAGTAACGAGTGTATTTTGCCACCTCTGGTGGGCAGATGCACTCGTTTCGTTTTCGTTTCCTGTGCCGTGCGGCGAGACCCATAGACGGTATGGTTTTACGTGTAAACCAACCACCGGTCCTTATGAGCCAGTTTTGCTTGCGGCTCCAAACACCCAGCGTGCCAAAGACGAACGGACCGGTGGGGGCCTCGATGTTGCTGGCACGACCAGCCATTTTGCTTCACCTGCCAAACTGCAGCAATTGTCGCAGCAAAGGATTCCAAGGCGCGCTGAAGAAAAATGGCTGGGAAACATAACATACTGGTGGTTTAAAACCCTTTCTGGAGGCTCGTTGACGAAAATTGGCTGGAAAATGCACTGGCTGTTAACTCTTGCCGATGTTCGAGAAAGACAATGCTGCTGGTTGCAGTATCTGTCCACTATTAAGTTCTGATAACCAATCATAGGTACTCTCATCCCTGTTCCATGGCCTTGTTGATTTTGCCAGAAGATGTAAGGTGTACCAACCCAGGTAGCGTGTCTTAAGGCCCCTGGCCGATGTGGCAGATGGGGGCCACACGGACTCTCAAAGCAGGAACTAGTGGATGGCTGTTCAGCTCCTACCTGTGTGCTAATATGACCTCTTCACCTACTCCCTTTGTGTGCTAATAGACCCTCCAGCTGCTCCCTATGTGCTAACAGGACCTCTGACATGGACGACAACATTTTCTGTGAGCAGACACCATGAAAGAACCACCTACTCGATGGTCTGCATAAACGGTTGCCTGCTACGACGTTAAGGGCCAGTTGTACTTCCCAACATGAAGTGCCACGAACCTTCTCGGATGAACATTATCTGAACTTCAACAAGGTCTAACGCGACTACCGTCTTCAGCCGAATAGAACACCCGATCAGTATAGCTGTATTTGGGGCAACTTTCAGACCAGCTGCATCGATAATGACGGGGCGTCTTATTCGGGTGAAGACGGTAGCAGTCTAGCCAGGTTGTAGCACAGTGGGGCCCGACCTCAAGGGCCAGACTCCTCGTGAACAAAGCATGAACATGACCAGCTTCATGTTTTCGAAGCACGAGCGTAGCACCAGCCGATGAAAGTTATCTGTATTTCAACGAGGTTTGAGGCTGTTGGTAGGCTAGCAGCTCATTGCACTGTGGGCCCCGGCTCTAAGGCCCAGGTCACACTGGTGCTATATTCATGCTAACGTAGTATGAACATGACCACAATTATGACTGGTTGATGCTTTCCTAGCACAAACACAGCACCGTAAGCTGTAGACCAGCTTGGAAGGAGTTTGAAGGTGCAATGTGCAGGCGGGCTAGTGTGTGAAAATGTGTACCTCTGTGTGAGTGAGGGTGTGTGCCTCGGCATGTGAAGTTCTGTGGACGGTCCGAGCGTTTTGTCAAAGAGCATCAGTACGCAGTTGCGTGAATTTTTAATGACAACAGCGGCCATCACATTTGGGCGTGGGTATGTGGTCAGTCTTGTGAGAGTGCCTGTGCATTTTTCCGCCTGCATTTGTTACACATTCGTTCTTTTTTGTGCGTGTTCATTTGCGGGTGCTTATGAGCGTGTTATGCCGTGTCACAC